TTTCATAACTCAACAACTAATCAACAATCTTTATTAAAAGAAAATAAGTGAGAAGAAAAAATAAATAAAAAGTAAAGAGAATAAAAGTAATATTCAATAGACTTCAGTAAGAGAAAATAATAAAGAGAAGATACAAAAGAAGAGAATATCATCAATAAGAGAAATAAGATTTAATATAAAGAAAGGTGAAAGGAAGATAAAAAAGAAAAAATGAAGAAAGAAAGTAAAATAAAAGAATAGTTTTTTAAGAATGAACTAATAAAATATAATGGAAATAAAGGGAAAGAATAATAAACAAGAAGGAATAATTACATTTCATCGAGATACAATGAATGAGTTATTTATATCAGAAGACAAATATTTATTATGTTGTATAAAATTACATCCAATGATACGATTTATTTTCTTTATTATATCATTTTTAATAGGATTAACGGCATTATTATTAACACTTCCATTAACAGGATTATATGTTGAATATCCAGTAATATTAGGGATAGTATATATTATTTCAAAACTATTATTATATAGTTCATTACTTTTTATTGCATCACCATGGAAACAATTAATATTAATTTGTAGACCAGTTAGATTTAGTACATTAGCATTTTGTATTATAGGTGTTGTAGGAATATGGTTAAGTATATTTCATATTATAAATAGTTTATTAATATTAATTTTATCTATTCTTTTACAAGCACTATGTTTTACATTATATTGTCTTTCATATTTATCATTTACTCATAATATATTATTTGATTGTATTAAACGTCCTAAAATCAGTTTATTAACAAGTAATTTAAAACAAAGAAGTTTAAGTGAATTACCAGAAATAAGTTCAACATCAGAAATATCAAATTCTGTTCAAATTGATTTTGGTCTTGAAAAGGAAAGATAAAAGATAATAACAAAATGAAATAGATGTATAATTTATTTATTATAAAATCATTTTTGTTTTAATAATAAAGAAGGATTTAATTTGTTAATAAGAATTAAATTTGTTTTAATCATCTTAAATAAAACATTTAATATAATGAATATTGATAAAACATGGTGGAAAGAAGGTGTTGTTTATCAAATTTATTGTAGAAGTTTTAAAGATACCACTGGTGATGGATATGGTGATATTAAAGGAATTATAGAGAAAATACCATATCTTAAAGAATTAGGAATAACTATTGTTTGGTTAAATCCAATTTATAGTACAAGTGATGCAGATAATGGATATGATATTATGGATTATCAGGAAATTAATCCAAAATTTGGAACAATGAAAGATTTTGATGAATTACTTTTTAAAATGCATGAAGCAGGAATTAAAGTTGTTATGGACCTTGTTGTTAATCATTCAAGTAATCAACATCAATGGTTTATTGAATCAAAAAAAGGAAATAATGAGAAAAAAGATTGGTATATTTGGTCAAAAAAACCAAATAATTGGAGAAGTTTCTTTAGTGGAAGTGCATGGAAATATGATGAAGAACGTAAAGAATATTATCTTCATTTGTTTCTTGAAGAACAACCTGATTTAAATTGGGAAAATATTGAAGTAAGACAATCTATTTATAAAATGATGAAATGGTGGTTTGATAAAGGAATTGATGGATTTAGAATGGATGTAATTAATTTAATATCTAAAGTAAAAGGATTTCCTAATGATTCACCTGTTGGATTAGATGGATTAGCAAGTGGATTTCGTTATTTTGCTAATGGACCAAAAGTTCATGAATTTTTAAATGAAATGAATAAAGAAGTATTAAGTCATTATGATTGTTTAACAGTTGGTGAAACACCTGGTGTTACACCAGAACAAGCTCAACAATATGTAGGAAAAGAACGTCATGAACTTGAAATGTTATTTCAATTTGAACATGTTAGTATAGGATATAAAAATGGTGATAAATGGATAAGTGTTCCATGGAAATTAACTGAATTAAAAAAGAATATTGAAAAATGGCAAGTTACACTTCATAATTGTGGATGGAATTCATTATATTTTAATAACCATGATCAACCAAGACAAGTAAGTAGATGGGGAAATGATACAAAATATAGAATTGAAAGTGCTAAAATGATTGCAACATTACTTCATACATTAGAAGGAACTCCTTATATTTATCAAGGAGAAGAATTAGGAATGACCAATGTTTATTTTGATAAATTAGATGATTATCAAGATTGTGAAATCTTTGGAAAATGGAAGGAATTAACTCAAACTCATGAAATGACTTTAGACCAATTCTTAAAAAGAGTTTCTGAAGTTGGAAGAGATAATGCTAGAACTCCAATGCAATGGGATGACTCTGAAAATGCTGGATTTACTTCAGGAAATCCTTGGCTTAAAATAAATCCAAATTATAAAACAATTAATGCTAAAGAAGCAATGCAAAATCCCAACAGTGTTTTTAATTATTATAAACAATTATTAAAACTTAGAAAAGAAAATCCTATTATGCCTTATGGTGAAGTTCAAATGATTTTAAAAGATGATGAACATATCTTTGCCTATATTAAAACATTAAACCAATTAAAATGGATTGTTATTCTTAATTTCTTTGAAACTCCAATAGAATTTATACTTCCTATTGATATTCAAATTCAAAATAAACATTTAATAATTTCTAATTATCAAGTTGATAATCAAGAACCAATTAATCAATTTTTATTAAAACCTTATGAAGCAAGAGTTTATCAATTTAATTAAACATCTTAATAGTATTTTATTTTCTTTCATTTTTTAACTACTTATCTTAGAATAAAAAATAATTAATAAAATATTCATACAACAACATTCTCTTTGTATTTCTTCTAATAAAAATAATTTCAATTTATCATAATTATGAAATTCAATTGTATTTTCATTTTAATATTTCTATTGAAACAAATTAACTTTCATTTATATATGAATAAAATAAAAAGAAAAATAAGTAGATAAAATTTAATTTATCTTAAGCAGTTGAATTTCTCCAGTTCTTTCCAGCATATGGAATGTTTCCAAGTTCTTCTTCAATTCTCATGAGTTGATTGTATTTGCAAAGTCTTTCAGATCTGCATGGTGCTCCAGTCTTGATTTGTTTGCAGTTAAGTCCAACAACAAGATCAGCAATGAAAGTATCTTCAGTTTCACCAGATCTGTGTGATGCCATAACTCCCCATCCTTTTTCTTGTGCCATCTTAATAGTCTTGAATGTTTCAGTAAGAGTACCAATTTGATTAACTTTAATAAGAACAGAGTTACATGCGTTCTTATCCATAGCCATTTGGACACGAGCTGGGTTTGTGACTAAAAGATCATCTCCAACAATTTGGAAATTACCATGTTCAACAGTGAATTTATTCCATGCTGCCCAATCATCTTCAGCAAATGGATCTTCAATTGAAGCAATTGGATAATGTTTACCATAATCAACATATTCAGCAATTAATCCATCAACATCTTTAACAAGAGATGGGTCTTTCTTATCAGCTGGAATCTTCTTTCCAAGATCATATTTCTTAGTTTCTTCATTATAAAATTCTGATGCTGCACAATCCATAGCAATTTCAATCTTTCCAGTATATCCAGCTTTAGCAATAGCTTCTACAAGAAGATCAAGTGCTTCACGTGCTCCTGATACATTTGGTGCAAATCCTCCTTCATCTCCAACATTAGTAGCATCTTGTCCATATTTAGCTTTAATAACAACTTTAAGGCATTGATATGTTTCAGCTGCCATTCTAAGAGCTTCATGGAAATTAGTAGCTCCAGTTGGGCAAATCATGAATTCTTGCATAGCAAGTGCATTCCCTGCATGTGCTCCTCCATTAATAACATTGAAACATGGAACTGGCATAGTCATTTCTTTATGTCCAGTAAGTTCAGCAAGATATTTATATAATGGAAGTCCTTTTTCTGCTGCTGCAGCTCTGCAAATTGACATTGAACATCCAAGAATAGCATTAGCTCCAAGTTTTCCTTTGTTGTTAGTTCCATCAAGTTTAATCATCATTTCATCAAGTTCTGCTTGGTTCAAAACGTTCTTGCCAAGAAGAGCTGGTCCAATAATGGTGTTAACATTTTCAACAGCCTTAAGAACTCCTTTTCCTCCATATCTTTTCTTGTCTCCATCACGAAGTTCAACCGCTTCATGAACTCCAGTAGATGCTCCTGATGGAACACATGATCTGAACATACCTTTTGCAGTAGTAATTTCTACTTCAATGGTTGGATTACCACGTGAATCAAGAATTTCTCTAGCATGAACCTTTTGAATTGACATTCCTTTATTTAATGTTTGAACTTTTCTTCTTTTTCTTTCTTATATCATTTGCCACGTTTCTCTGATTCATCATTTCTTATTTTCTCTCTTTTTCTTTACTTTTGTTTTTTTGCCTTTTTTATTCCTTTCTCCTTCGCAAAATCCCTTCATTTTTTATTTTTTCGGTAATTTCTTATTTTTCAGTCTCCACGTCTCACCTCCACTTCATACTCTTTCAACACAACGTGGCTTTTTATCATATTAAAAAAAAAAAATAAAAATAAAATAAAAAAAA